TTGTGTTGTGATGAGTGTGAGTTTGTTTTGTTGTTTGTGTTGTGATGAGTGTGTTTTGGTGTTTGTGTTGTGATGAGTGTGTTGTGTTTGTTGTGTTGTGATGAGTGTGTTGTGTTTGTGCGGCAGGAGCGCTACACCTGTCCGTGTCTGGCGTCTCACCCGCTGGAGAGCAGCTTCGTGGCTCAGACCAACGGTGACTACATCGCCCTGTTCTCCGCGCAGCGGCCCTACAGGATCAACAAGAGACGCCGCTATGAAGGACACAAGGTCACATGATGGAGTGTTTCACTGACATATAAAAGGGTCATGACATGAGAAATCATATTTCCCTTGATCTTTTGGCATATAAAAGCTCTTTGTACCATTAAAACATCCTGCAAGTTTCATAGCTTAAAACGTCCTCCTCATTATAAACAAAGCATTTATTTAATCAAGCTCCAGAAGCGGCTCGTTTGGATGTGAGGTGCAAGGTGACGTCACAGGGCACAAACATTTGCATAAACTCCGCCTCCAGAGCGGCACATCGACATAGGCCCCGCCCACTGGCGTTCAGTCGCTAACGGCTTGAGCAGCTGAATGCGAGCGTCGCGTCAAAAGCAAATAGAAACTACAATCACTGCGCTATCTTGTCTGCACTGGATACAGTAAACAGATGCGGTTCTCTTTCTGACAGTCCAGCGCTCGAGTCTGTCGTCAGGACTAATGCAGTGAAATGCAGTCTTTGTTCAGATATCAGAAGGAGCCCAGTGTGGGAACAAGTGGACAGTTTATTTTAATGGCGTCTCGGAGGATTTTGTTTTGTAATCGAGGCACAGTGTCAGGGAGAGTCACAAAGAAACATGTGTTGAGAGATGAAGCGGTGCTAGATCTGGCTGCAGCTGCATCACAAATAGAGGTGCTCCAATTGATGGGCTACCGATCACTATCGGCTGATAATCGCTTTGGGATGATCGATCGGCGGTCTCTAAAAAGGCCGATCTCAGGCTGATGACGCTGCCGTGAGAGATTTGACTCGACATGCAGCGCGCACCGTCTCAGTCTCTGTCCAGCGCGGGTGAAATCATTATAATGCTGAAGGTGAGGTACAATTCATATTTCTTCATTAAATAACTTATTAAATAATTAGAAAAGGTTTCTGTGAGACGTAATGTCACAAACAGCGTGAGTGAATCACCGTGCGC